TTAGCAGTTAAGTAAAAGCCTATATATAGTCAGTTTATGATATTTGTCAACAAGATTGATACACATAGTTCTCTTTTTTAACCAAATACGTTTTAATATGCACACAACAATACAATTTAAAATAATGGTTATTACAAACAATGAATTATGAACAAAAGTTTCACAAACTTACAAGCAATATAAAGTATTCTTTCTAGTCTAGAACTTCTTTGGTATCTTATTGACGGTTCACTATGAACGAGTCAATTACGAGTTGACGTAGGTATAATTCACTTCACAGGGAGCTAGCTAGATTTGTCCTTCGTTATTCCTCAGCCACACACGCCGAGTTTTCGACGATGAAGTTATATAATGTTTTGTAAAAATACTAATGTCTGATGAGAATCCACTGAAGTTAAATGATTTGTAATGTTCGAACTTTTTAAATGTTCCTGGTCAAATATCTGAAGTTTCCCGATTGATAAGCGTTATAACAGTCACAGCTATAACTTCCGAAGTTTATAGCACATTGACTATAGCAAACTAATAATAGATACTCTCTTTTTTTGGCGCGTCGCGTTGGTTATATTTACAAGTGTGTGGAGGCTTTCTCGAAATTCCAGTTTTACGCAACAATACTGACGCTAACACAAGCGTTTACACACGTATTGTTGATTCTTAAGCTCGAGAATCTTCTATAACTTTGGAGAATAGGCGGGAGTTTCGCAATACATATTTAACACGATAAACTATGCATGTTTTTAAATATAAACATAATCTAAACAAACGTTGATAACAAAATAAATATATAATAGTAAATTCTTCACAACATAAATTATTTAAAAAGTGTTGTTACAAATCTGGTACTTTATTAGAATTTACTGAATGTTCAGGTTTGCTCATTTGCACTCAATGCAGTGTCTGTTATGAATCGATAGCTAGTTAGGCTTAAGGTCTGTCACATGAATTTCCATCTAACGGTATTCATGATTTCTGCTAGATATGGACCTTAGATTAGTATGTTTGTACGAAAAACTCAGGTCGATTGAAGAAAAACTATAACTAATCTTTTCAAAATGGACCCTCTCTGAAGGCTCAAAACACTAAAAAACCAGTACAGCTAGCCCATTGCAAAGCTTTTTGCTTAACAACAAACAAACTAAAATGGGTTTGACGTAGCCAAGCGGTCTGCGTGCTCCATTGCAGATCAGAAGGTCCCAAGTTTCAGCCGCGATACGCCAATGAACACACGCCGCATATTTAGTTGTTCGGGCATTATAACTATGACAGCCAGATCCAGCTATTTGGTTAAGACAAATCACATAATAGGCGGCAGGTACTGCTGATTAGTTGCCATCTTTTTGGCCAGTGTTCTCAATTAGGATTGGCTTGTTGAAACCTAAGGAGTTTCTGTCTTGGTCCTTTGGCCTATGTGTCCCATAGCGTGCCGCTCAGGTTGAACATGCAAACAAACACTTTTCTTAAATACCTTTCTCTCTTAGACCATTTACTTGTGTAAAAATAAATGATCAAGAGAATAATCAATAATTGAAAATTCTTCTTTACTCATCATGTTCAATGGACTTCAGTTTTAGTAAACTCAATTTGTTGACAGTTTTAAGAATTTCTTGAATAAAATCTGGCTGTAATTGAAAGATACGTCGTACTATTAGATATATAGCCTCAATACTTCTTTCAGAGATGAGAATCAATTTTTTTCTACAACACATAAACACCAGACGCGCCAGAATTTAGATGAGTGACTGAGCAAACTTTTAGAATATAGTTGATTAACATAACTAAAACTACGTGTGGTCATTATAATAGCAATGACAACTATAAGTGTAGTTGTTTCTGATTTCTATATCTTTCAAACTGATAATCTACATATATATATCAAAATGTTTCAAGCTAGTAGATCGTTACGAACAAACTCAAGGATAATCATCAGCTATCATGACATTTCGCCATAGCTGACTTTACTACGGAGAACGCTGCATGCTTAAACAGCCACACCTTCCTCGGACATCCTCATGTTGAGAGTTCAAATGAAAAAAGATTTTAAAAGAAAATAGAAGTGAAAAATAATTTTCGTGATTTATGTATACGAATCTGAAAAAACAAACAGATTTCTGTAAGACTTGATGGAATCCAGAGTATTGACCAGCCGAACAAGGCTTACCTATATTTTTAATTGAGATATGCTAGATTCAACATCTTTGTGAAATAATGCTACAGGTTGTTTTTCATGCATTGTATTTTTTTGTAAATGTTTGTGTGATGATGAGTTTAAGAATTTGTTTTGTATTTAATATCAAATTCCTACGCTTACAAAATAACCAGCAATAACTAATAATGCATTTAAATATCTTCATTCTTAAATATGCTTAAAACTTCGATAAAGTTTACCGTTTTCTGTTGAAATTACTCTTAAAACATAGAACACTAATCTTTATATAACATACTAATTTAAATGTAAATGATACGTGAAATGTAGTGGACTATTAAGAAGCGCTATGATTTGTTACATCGTTTAATAGTTATTTTTTCTGTAATTAGCTGACAGTGAGTTATTATCTGTTACTGAAAACAATTTTTTTTTCATCTCGAACGGTAAACAAAATGTGTTCTATGATAAATAATGTATCAAAACATAAAATAGACTTTCAACGATAGCTAATTAATATTTTCACTTCATTAAGTCATTAAACAAAAGGGAGTCCTCAATAGCCGGGGCTGTAATTAGATCTCAAATCGATCAAGTGATGGGGCTAAGAGCTAAAAGTTTGTACTTAAAAAAAAACCAACTACAAAAAAACAACCCCAGAGCCATTCGATGAGTCGCTATGTCGCGGCTAAAAATACGGAAGTCGTACATTAACATCGTTTTTTTTATTTTTCTTTTCGGAACGCGAATGATCTCTATAATGATCTCATTTTTTTAGATGCATGGCCTAGTGGTTATTGAGCTCGACTCGCAATCGAATATGTTCATCCTTTTAACTACGTGAGCGTTATAATGTGAAGGTCAATCCCATTCTTCATTTGTAAAAAAAAAAAAAGCCTAAGAGTTTGCGTGGGCGGTATTGACTAGCTTCCATTCCTCTAATCTGTCTATCACTTCATAATATGGAACGACTAGCGCAGATAGCTCTCGAGTAGCTTTGCGGGAAAATTCAACAAAACAAAGTACAATTTAGTCAAACCTAACATTATAACGAAAATGTAGTGAAAATAATTTGTCAAGATCTGCTGCTGAACGGAATTTAGATCTATACTGATGATGATATAATTGATTAGGTATAAAAGAATTGAGTCAACCGACATTAACCCTCTATTATATACTGTAAAGTACAGGTATCAAATCTATGTTTGTTGCTTAATACATACAAATGCTTCAATTCTGTAGTTGAATGCTCTTACTTCCAGGTAACAGTCTAAATAAACCATGGAATTATTTTTGTTCGTTCCAATTAAGTAACGATTTCAAAGAAACCATTTTCCTTCGTATTTTCAGAATGAGTACAGTAGAATAACTTGTAGTGAGTAATTTGTATGTCTCAAAATCTCCTGTTAGTTGAACTATTAAATCAAGTAAAATTTTTTGTATTTTACAGCTTCTTTTCATGTCTGTATGAACATACGACATTACATTATTTGACAGATTCTCACCAGTATTATCATACAGATGGTGGTTCGTACAAGTGAACAATATGAAACGTGGCGTCTTGAAGGTGATGTGAAATATGCGTTAATTATACTACATCTATAAACGTAATCGTATAGAATTATGTATATTTATTGTTAAATACTTTTAAAAAGTTTGATTTAATGAAATGTTTCATTAATTAAGTTTCATATATGTAATGCTGTTACATTTACAGCGTATTTTACATATAAATACACAAATTATTTGATCCACATTAGACGAAAACTCTTTGTGATCACACAAGGTATCTATAGAATGTGATCTATATATAGACTATACGGTGATGCGTAATTTGTGTATTTGATTGAATAAAACTTTCGCTACGTAAATATTTGGAATAGTTCATATTTGATTCCATAAGCAATAGTTAGTTATGCTGAGAATAATAGTACTGATATACCTAAGAAAGTCAACACGAGAAAGATATCGGAGATGACAGTACACACGAAACAAACTATAGTAAAAAATTGTCCACTATGCTTTCATCTCAGCGTCATTAGCTGTGTTGTGGTTTGAGCTATACAAAGGATATTAGGGGCGGAAATATGTGCATTTAATGATTAATGTGTTTGTTATTCAACAAACACGTACAGTGATGAATTGAATTAATAAAAATATGTTTTACAGTCAATGAATTCCGTAAATAATACGTATTTGTATTTTTGTACATATGGCGAAGCTACTGAGGCTATCTACTGCCGCCATTTCTAATTTTGAACTACTGAACAGAGGCGAGTGAGTCAGTCAGCAGCACCCTATAATTCGTGCTAAGGGATTGACTGTCACTCTTATAACGCACACACAGCTGAAAGTGCTGGAAATATTTTATGGTATCACACGAACTCGACTCGCCAGCTCCAAAATCCAGAACTATACCATATGGCCAACCCGTGCCTATATATAACATCAACTACAAATATACTTTTAGTAGAGGTATTAAGTCTTGGATGAACTATTCTTCGGAAAAATACGAATAACCTAGTTAGTAAATTAAACGTTTAGTAATATACTTTTTGAGAATCGCGTTTAAGAATATATCTTAAGTAATTTAAAATGAAGTACCCCGAGTTATAATAATTACAGGTGTGAATGCGTTTCACACGTTCTACAGGAATTATATGTTCGTAATTTAGCTCAGGAAAGAAGCTTATTTAGCCAAACTAGCTCTATAGCAAGTGTAATTTCATTAAAAGGGCATTTATTCATTTAGCTAAAGATAAATAATTTGAATATTGTATTTTTCTTTAGTTCTATTATGTAGAAAACAAAAATCAAACATTCAACAAGAAAAGTGAATAAGTATTGAACTTACCGGTCTACACTCAGAGCTGCTATGCTAAATACTGAGGTCGAGACTGTTAAGTAAGCAATGAAGTTACTAATCGTACAATACATGGATGCAAATGGCCAGTGGCTTCCAAGTAAGTAGACAAAGTTAAAGATGGCGTTAAAATCGGCCAGTAAGAGATCTGCTATCGCAAGATTTAATAGAAAATAGTTCGTAACCGTTCTCATTTTCCTATGTGCGACAACTATCCACAGCACAATAATGTTTCCAACTGTTGCCATGCTTATCATTATACCAAAGACAGTGGCCCACAAAAACTGTTGCCACCATGGGAGGACGTATGGACGCATATACAAGTGAAATCTCTGGAGGGTTTCAATACAGTAGTTTTGGAAGTTGTCCTCCTCAGAGAGGTTATCTAGTCCTGAATAGTGAGTTCTGTTTCCGTTTTTTGAGAGATGACGAAGAAACGAGACGCACCAGGTAATATTTAGCTTTGACAGCGTGTTAGAAACATTTTGAGGGTGCCCATCACTGTGTAACTCCAACAACCAGGCTGTCCTGTTCATTGTTCATGAAAATATAATATTGGAACTTTAAGCTGACCTTCCATCCATCACGCGAGTGTCTCGAAGTAATATATTCTTTCTATTATAGAAATATATTTTTGTATGGATTTCCTTAATTTGACTTTTCTTATTGACATGAAATCAAGTGGGCTATATATACGCAATTCTTATGCACATATTTTTTCGGTTTGTGTCAACTGCAGAAAGCAACGGCTTAACTTGCCGTAGCTAGCCCCTTTACTAGCTTAGCTTCCCGCATTGCACCTTAGACACTAACCGATTGTTTACGACTAGAGAGCAATGAGCACGCACAAGTGTTCGATGCGATCCTCTAAATTCTAGCTGATACTGGTTGCTCGTGATAGTCACGTCAAGGGCACGTGCCTAACCACCAGATGGCATGTATTATGTGAATGTCATAGCATTTTACCGACGTTGGAAGGAAAAACATGTAGGTCAATATAAAGTGAAATTTTGTCGTCGATAAATATCGATTAAACTGTATATTTATAAATCTTTAACCAATTAATTTCTTTCAAGTTCATATTTCTGATCCAGTTAAACAACAATTTTTATTGAAAGACTAGTCACGATATGCAATTGATGCAAAAATATATAAAAAAGACAAGTTTTTTAACAAATAGTTTAGCGTATACAGTTATGCAGAAAGTTTAACATAAATATTTGTAATGATTAAATATTTTAATATAAACAAAATTAAGAACATGCATCTCTATCATGGAAACCATATCAATCAGGATCACGAAATTGTTTATACATCATAAGGAGTTTCCCCAGCTTGGCAATAGAAATTACATTTTGAACGAAGACTTAAGAAACACATATTGTAATGAAGAAGGGCCGGATGTGGCTCAGTGGTTAACATGCCGAACTGAAGGACTGTGGTTCTCGTACCTTTGCGGCGAAAAATAAAACAAAACAAAAAATAACATTGGGCACCGCACTTTGGGGCTGTGGGAGCGTTAAAGAGTTTCTTTGTTTTAGCGCAAATTTGCTAACTATCTGCTCTCTATCTACTGTCGGGAATCGAGCCCCAAATTTGAGCGTTAGTAAAATTATCGTTGACCCACAGGGGTACGTTATAGGAGTGATAGCCAAAACCCATAATCCGTATAAGAGCAGCCCAAAAGCTGATGGTGGGTGTTATTGACTAGTTACCTTCTTTCTTGTTAAAAATTATGTTAGAATAGCGAACACAGTACTTGAGTAGCTTTGAACGAACACCCGAAAACCAATAAGCACGTGATGCAGAGAAAATTACGAAAATAAGCAACTAAAAACATTTTTAAATTAATACTTTTTACAGACACCGAATGACCAATAATATTAAACTGACAAAATTGAAGAACCACTTGGAAGTATCATAAGTGAGATGTATTAGAATAATTTAATTACAAACTAATTATTTTTCTCTGTTGTTCTGGCATAAATTGTCTTTGATAATTGTTAGACTTTATTTAAAAAAACAACAACAAAAACATAAGATAATTACGTATAAGTTTCAATTCAGGAGTTTTAGCTATAATAATAATCACGTTTTTAAAAAGTTATAGAACAAAATAACAGACTTGGGAGTATGACACAAGTTTCAATAACTGTCGATCAGAGAATTTATTTATTTTTAAAAAAGGCTAAGGTTTCAAACTTATGGAATTCAAAAGAATCATATGTAAGAAGGATAACAATTTCGAAGGTTGGAAACCAAAAGAGTCGACTGTGAGAATGGATAAAACTTCATTCATCAGGAATGAAAATTATCGTATTTTCAAACGTTTAATAAAATATTAATCATTGTAAGTATGTTCTGATTTCTTATAATGTTTTAGATCATAGCCACGTGTTATAAGTGAAGTTTTCGAACTACAGAATGAACGATTTTAGCTGTTCGTGCATTACTGTCTAAATAAGATATCACACATATGTGTTTATAACATAGTTTACCGCCAAATTATTGCAAGTAATTTTCAGTATATTTCAAGCTTATCACATTTATACTACTACTACTTATGTCAACTCAGAGTTTAGGCGTATTTTTTTGTATTAATTTTGACTTTAAATAAATTTCGTGTGTGTATATAACTAGATGTAGATTGACACCTGATTAATTAATGTTATTTTTACCAGTTATCATGTGTTCATAGAAGAAATTAAACAAGTCCAACTAAGACTGCTCGTACGTAAATAATTTATGAATTTTTACTATTGCTTAAATTGGTGCAGTGTGCACATGAAATTTTCGTTGATAGGGGTCCAAAAAATTGAAGTTGTCAATAAATGACAGACAAATTCGGATCCAATTAACGCCCATCAGAGATTCGACTCTTGTTTATAACAGACTTTAGATTCACAAGGAGCTTCAGGTCGTTTTTACTTATTTTTCATTCTGAGCACGTTTTACAATGCTTATGTTCATTTCGAATGTTTCATGCCTCTAACTCTATGCTGAACATTTTTCTTCAATACAATTTTCTCGTTCTTCATGCGTATAATTTTTAACTCAATCATGACTGATATTCTATTATTCATTGCTACAATATATCGTTATTGTGAAACAGTACAAAGTTGGTGCAATGCCACATAACAAACTTATAGACCATAGCGAGTTAATATTAAAAAATTACCAGGTTATTTAAAATAATTACCAGTTAAATTTATCTTGTTTTCAGAATGTTTGTTTTTGAATTAATTAAATGGTTTACGTGGTTACGAAGATATATTACACTCTATGAAAAAAAAAGCAATTTGGTGTATTTTTGGTCATTTATTCCATATACCTTATGGACTAGGACTAGGTAGACTAGGACTAGTTTGGATTTTATATCCTTCCTTGATTGACCAAGCTTGGCCCAGCAGCTTATCTGTCAGACTTAGATCTTTTTTTTTTCTTCCTGTGGAAAAAAACAACAAAAAACATCGCACTTTGAGGCTTTGCGTTCGTTCGTTATAAGGATGATAAACAAATCACACTATTCGATCAGACAAGAGTAGCCCAAGATTTAGCGGTGGGTGCTGTCCACTAGCTGCTTACTCTAATCTAGCAGTTCAAAATTAGGGACGGTTAGCGCGGATAGTCCTTGAGAACCTTTGCGCAAATATCTCATAAACAAACAAACATATCTTCGTTAAGTGAGTTAATCTGTTTGAGCGGCATGGCGCCTTGAGGTTGATTCTTTTGCATCGTTAATTGAATCCACATCGCTTATTAGTGAATTTCATAATATTGTGTGAATATTGTTGCAGCATAAATATATATACTTCTTCACTGAGGTGTGAACCTTGATAATAATTTGTGACTACCTTTTTTGTTGCGATAGAAGACAGCTGCAGAATTAATTGATAGCAGCTTAAAAGGCGACAAATTATAGGGATTTTGCAGATGGTCAATGGCTAATATCCTAATCCAAACCTAAACCAAGAACATTGTGCAAAACTTTGTTTCACACGTAAGTTAAAACTACAGGAAGATATAATATCACAGTTACCCAAGTTAAATATTTGCCTATTGTAGGAAACCAACTTTATTTATATGTTATGTTTCATTAATTTAAGAAAGGAGTTTGATGTTTCTTGTTTTTTTTTCTTTAACGATAGAAGCTTGCATGTTTACTGATGAGCAACCGGAGGGCATAATGTAGTCTTATGAAAAATAAATAAATTTCTTTTTTCCCTAGACGCCGTAAGAATTATAATTTTTTTGAAATACGTTTGTTTGTTTTGTTACGTATTACAATTTCGAATTGCCTAAAACTGAGTTAAACTGTAATTTAGATTTAGTAGTTAATTAAATGCCAATATATATATATATATATCCAACTTATGATATTTGCCAACAAGATTGATACAAACAGTTTTCTTTTTTTAAGACAAATATGTTTTAATATACAAACAACGATACAATTTACAATAACAGCTAGTACAAATAGTTATTACACACAATGATTTATAAACAAAAGTTTTACAAACTTACAAGCAATAGAAAGTCTTCTTTCTAGTCTGGAACTTCTTCGATATATTATCGAGGGTTGACAATGAGCGAGTTAATTGCGAGTTGACGTAGGTACAATTCACTTAATAGGGAGCTAGCTAGCCCTGTAGTTCTCGCTGATCACACGCCGATCACAGGTCGAGTTTCTTTTACCGCTGTTTGTTTGTTTTTTAATTTCGCGCAAAGCTACACGAGGGTTATCTGCG